TCAGAATTGGTTCAAAGAGGTAAGACTATATATATATGTATGTATGTATATATACAAACACACACATTCAATTGTATATAGAAATGTATAAAGAAATGAGGGGGGTGGAGATAAGAGAAAGGGGGGAGATGATAAAAGGGAGGGCAGATTAAGAGAGGCAGTGGTTAGAAATAAAATAAGATGGAATGGGATGACCTCGCCCATAAAATGGAAGCAAATAGCAAAATGGATTAGAAACCAGAGTCCAATATGTTGTCAACAAGAGACATACTTGGAACAGAAACACAAACATGAAGTTAAAATAAAAAACTGGAACAGAATCTAATATGCTTTAGGTGAAGTAAGAAAAAAAAAAGGCAGAGGTATAGCAATCATGATCTCAGACAAAGCAAAAAACAAACAAACAAACAAACGAATAAATAAAAGAGACAATTGGAAACTACATTTTGCTAAAAGGCATCATAGACAATGAAGCAATATTAACAAATTTTACAGCAAGTTTCTCTGATAAAGTCCCCATTTCCCAAATATTTATTGAACGTAAAACTGAGCCAGATTTATAAAAATGGGAGCCATTCCCCAACTGATAAATGGTCAAAGGATATAAACAGGCAGTTTTTAGAAGAAGAAATCAAAGCTATTGATAGTCATATGAGAAAATGCTCTAAATCATTATTGATTAGAGAAATGCAAATTAAAACAATTCTGAGGGACCACCTCATACCCATCAGAAATGACCAATGCTGGAGGTGATGAGAGAAAAATAGGTACACTGATGAATTGCTGGTGGAGTACTGAATTAGTCCAGCCATTCTGGAGAACAATTTGAAACCAGGCCCAAAGGGCATACCTTAAAAATAGCAAACTGTGCTATACATAAATACATGCATAAATAAAACTGCATATCCTTTGACCCAGAAATACCACTACTAAGTCTGTATTTCAAAGGGGTCCAAGAAAAAGGAAAAGGACTTATATGTACAAAAATATCCATAGCAGCTCTTTTCATGGTGGCAAAGAAGCAGAAATTTAGGGGATGTTTATCAACTGGGAAATGGCTGAAGAAGTTGTGGTATATAATTGTGATGGAGTATTATGTGCTATAAAAAATGTGCTATAAAAAAAGGGAGGTGGTTTTAGAAAAACACGGCAAGACTTCTATGAACTGATGCAAAGTGAAATGAGAAGAACCTGGAGATCATTGTGCACAGTAACAGCAATGTTGTAAGGATGATCAGCTGTGAAAGACTTGGCTGCTCTGATCAATACAATGATTCAAGAGAATTCCAAAAGACTCATGATAAATATATATATATATATATATATGTGTGTATGTATGTATATATATGTATGTATATGTATAGGTGTGTATATATATGTATATATGTATGTATGTTTATGTATATATACATATATATATATGTAAAATCTATCTCCAGAGACAGAACTGATGAACTCTGAGCACAAACTGAAGTATAATTTTTCACTTCATTTTTCTTGCTTTTAAAAAAATGGCTAATATGGAAATATGTTTTACATGATATCACATGTATAATTGATATCATATTCCTTGCCTTCTCAGTGGGTGGGGGAGGATGTGAGATGGAGAGAGAGAATTTGGAATTCAAAATTAGAAAAAAGAAAAGCATATTCAAAATAAATAAATAATAAATTGAAAATCAATTTTTTTAAAATTTAGTGAGGCAATTGGGGTTAAGTGACTTGCCCAAGGTCACACAGCTAGTACATGTCAAGTGTTTGGTCTGAGGTCGGATTTGAACTCAGGTCCTCCTGACTTCAGGACTGGTGCTCTATCCACTGCGCCACCTAGCTGCCCCGAAAATCAATTTTTTAAAAAGATAAACCTTGCCCTAAGAGTATATTATAACTTAAAGTATTAACTAATCAAAGTATGAGCGATTATCAAGACATTTAAAAAGAAAGTTTTGTTGCTGAAATCAACGTGGGTCACCTACAAAAACATCCATGTCTGAACACCTGAAAACTTGGAAACAGACTTTTCTGATCTGTTTGAAAACTTCTAAACAAAGAGTTTCAGTGAGCTTTAAACCCATTTGTTAAAAATAAAAAGATGCAACACCTTCTGATTAATATATAAGAAAAAAACAGTTAATATCAGTGAAGACAGAAATTTACTGACCAGATCACAAAGAAAAAAAAAATCTTTCCATACCTGGTAGCTGTGATTGAAAAAAAGGATATCATGATTTAGTAAGTACAACCCATAATGTACTGCTTCCATTTGAATTCTTGTTTCTCTTTGAGAACTCTTTTGAATTAAATTCAGCTTAGAACCAGCTTTCACAAAGGGAGGAGTGGGAGACAGAAGGGTACAAGTATTTATCAAATGCCTACTATGTGCCAGTCACTGTGCTAAATTTTACAGTTGAAGAATCTGAGAAAGACAGAGGTTAAGTGATTCTATGCCCCTCCTCCATTTACAATGTTAAGCCAAGAATTGAATAAATAAGGAAATGTTTAATCATGTTGCTATAATTTAACAATGATTTCTCATAATTTTAGTGAGAGCAAAAAGGTTTTTTGTGCTATTATGTAAAAATAATTATTGAAAATATATTGGTTTTATTTTTATTTCATTCTATTAAATGTCTATGATGCATGTTTTATAATGTAAATAACATATTAGTACATGTATAGAACTTACACATCAGTATACATACATGTATTTGGGGGGACATACTCATTGTTACTGATGTGGACTGGAGCAAAGAAGGAAGGGATGGGTGCAGTTATAGAGGTTTTGAGGTACAGGAGAGGAGAATTAGAAAGGTCAGCACAGAAGGCTTTGATTTTCTCAGTAAAGTTGGAGGTGAATACATCTGCTGAAGAGAGGGAAGAGAAAGGAAGGGGAAGGAAGAGAAGGGAACACCATTTTACAGATGGGAAACTGAAACAGAGGAGGTTAAGTGACTTGCCCGGGGTCACACAGCGAGTGAGTGTCTGAGGTGAGATTTGAACTCAGGTCTTCCTGACTCCAGCCTCAGTGCTCTATCCACTGCACCACCTAGTTGTGGGGGGCCTGGCTCAGGTGGCATTTGGGGATTGAGGAGAAAGGAAGGGTAGACAGCGTGAAAGGGAGTCAATAAGAGATAAATAAAAAGATTACCAAGGATTAAGAGTTACTTAATCATCACCCTTAAAGGACCCAGGTTCAAATCCTGCCTCTCCCACCTATGTGACTATGAAGAAGTTACAAGTAACCTCTCTGAGTCTCGGTTTCCCCATCTGTATGTATTATTGTAACAGAATGTTACATGTAAAATGAGAGAGTCAGAGAAGATGACTATTAAGGTCCCTCCCAGTTCTAAATCATAGCTTCTCCAAGTGGACAGGGTGAACGGGGAAGGAAGGGGCAGAGCTGAACCTGGGGGTAGAGGGTGAGACTTTTAACCAAGGAACAAATAGAATGTTTCTTAATTGAGATGATACCCAATCAATTACAATTATGATAATAAATTTCAGTTACCTAGGGAGAATGAAAATCAGATTGTCTGAATAGGAAGGGCTCTTAGGGAATATCTAGTCCAATACCCTCGTTTTACAGATGAGGAGGCTGATGCCTGTTAAGAGAAAGTGATTTGTCCATCCCAGGGATTCCACCGCAGCTCCCCAGAGGACATCTAATCCTTTCCATTGCACCCTTCATATAGACCCTTAGATCTGGAAGAGAGCTCAGGGGCCACCTGGTCTAACCCATGCCTGAGCACGATTGATTGGTTAAGCAAGAATCCCCTTCAGAACATCTTGGGCCAGAGGTCATCCAGCCTTTGCCAGCAGCCCTCTGGCTAAGGGAAATCAACCCACTTCCTCCTCCAGCAACTCATTCTGCTTTGGACAGCTCTCCTTGTAAGAGTGTTTTCCCTTTTGTTGAGCCTAAATCTGTTTCTTGCCATTTTCCATTCATCGTTCCCAGCCATTTCCCTCTCAGGTGAAATAGAACCAGTCCATACAGCAGCCCTTTGGCCGCTCAAAAAACAATTCTCATGTCTTCCCCAAGTCTTCTCTTCTCCGGTCTACAAATCCCTAGTTCTTTTAACCAGTCCTCACATAGGACCATAGAATTTAGATATGGAAAGGTCTTTAGAGGTCAGCTGATCCAACCCCTTTCTTTGAGGAAATCGGAACCTAGACTCAAATTCAGACTCAAAACCATTTACGAATGGACAAGTTAAATGACTTGTCCAAGATCACACAGGTAATGACAGAGTCAGGGCTCTTGAAGCTCTCTACCACTCTGGTTGGCCCTCCTGAAACATGGCAGGCAGACCTTATACCCTAAGATGTGGTCTGACCAGGACAGAGGGCAGCAGGGCTCTCACTTCCTCCTGTGCTTCCCATTCATTATTATCCCCATCCACATTATCGCTGTGGTTGTAAACCCTTCATTCAAGGCTTTGTCAGCTACTCCACTGGGATGTGGGAGCCAGTTTCTCTTGGAGGCTATTTCAATAGAGCTTCTGCCCTGACAGAGCTTTCCAGGCTGGCAAGGCTGACACTATAAGCTTGGCAATCTTAGGCTTAGATTTGGCTCTCTCTTCAGGTGCCTGGGGGTCCAAGCAGACTTTCCCAATCCCCCTGAATTCTAGCACCTTTCCTCTGGAGATTATCTCCAGCTTATCCTGTCTACAGCTTGTTTGCACATACATGTTTGCAAGTTATCTCTCCCATCAGACTATGAGCTTCTTGAGAACAGGGGCTGTCTTTCGCCTTTCTTTGTATCCCGGTATTGTCATACTGCCTCCTGTTGGCTTGGGACCTGTGGAGAGAGGCCCCCCCACTGATGAAGTGATGAGTCCTTGAAGTATTGAAATATTAGCGTTGTTATCATCGTCGTGACCAGAGAAAGCTCAGCTCTGGTTTCCCCCAGTGGAGCATGAGCTGGTCCTGCTTGATTCGTGTTCTAGCACCTTGATAACCAGGCACCTGAGAGGAGTAGAAATATTTTTGTGTTTCTGCAGCTTGGCCTCGAGCGCTTTCACGGCGTGGGGATCTTGGGCTATAATTGCACTCGGTGGTTCGTCGCTGACATTGCCAGCATTTTTGCCGGGTAAGGAGGAAGGTGGGGTGAGTTCAGGGATGTTTGGTCTGGTTGTTGCATGAGTCATGGAGATGAGAGTCTCAGACACACGTGGAGAACTAGAGAACTAGAGATGGGACGGGGGTGGGGGGTGCTTATAAATCACCTAGTCCAACTCCCTTGTTTTACAGATGGTCAAATCAAGACTCCAACAAGTGAATTAACTTGCCCAAGGTCAGAGGAGCAGAGATGGGTTTTATACCTTGGTCTCCCTTTCTCCCAGATGCTTTCCGTAGCATACTAGGTGGGTGGTGTTGGGCCTGAATGTTTGTTTTCTTTTAGCAATAGTAAAATCAGCTTTGACATCTAAGAGGTCAGCTGGATTTGGTTCTCTCTTCAGGTGCCTGGGGGTCCAAGAAGACTGTGAATTCACTGAAAGGCAGCAATGTACAGTAGGAAAGAACCCAGGACTGGGAACCAAGGAACTGGATTTGAGTCCTGGCACCAACAATTACTAACTGTGTGACTTTGGGCAAATGTCTTCCCCAGTCTGGGCTCTCTCCTCCTCAGTAATGTGGGAAGAGTAATGCTTTCATTCCTAGGGGGTGAAGTGCTTTGTAAACTGCCAAGTGTTAGAGAAGCCCAAATTCTTAGTGGTAAGCAGCTGATAGGAGAAGGGGGCATTTCCAAGGACCACGTCTGACCAGGGTGACTTGGTCTGACTCCAGAGCCCCTGAATCCAAGCTCCAATTGCCAAATTCTTTCCCTAAGTACATGCTATCCTGGGGTCAGAAGAAATGCTGCCAGTTCAGTTCAGTGACCATTTACCAAGTGCCTACTCTGTGCATTGTGTCAAAGGTGAGTGGCCATACTCCTCCTAGGCTCTGTCCTGTTAGGATCTGAGAAGAATAAGCAGAAGGAACAGAGAGGGCTGGACCTTAGGCCATAGAAAGGCTGGTTGAAGGAACTAGGGAGGGTTAGCTTTGAGAAGAGACTTAGAAGGATGTGAGTGGTAAGCATTTGAATGGCCATCACAGAGAGAGGAGATTAGACTTGTACTTCTTGGCCCCAGAGAGCAGAACTAGGAGCACTGGAAGAGATGGGGAGTTGTAGAGGCTTATTTTGACTAGGTAGAATAGCTAGTGTTCATATTGTGCTTTAAGGTTTACAAAACACTTTACAAATATTATCTCATTTTGTCCTCACCACAACCCCGGACATTAGATGCTATTTCCCATTTTGCAGATGAGGAAACTGAGGCATATAGCAGTTAGTGACTTGCCTGGGGTCACACAGCTAGTAAAGTATCTGAGGCTGGATTTGAACTCAGGCCTTCCCGACTCCAGATCCAGTACTCTATACTTGTACTACCTGGCTGCTTACAAAGAACAAAACAACAACAACAAAAACATTCCCTAATAATGAGAACTTTCTGAAAGTGAAATGGGCTGCCTCAAAAGGTAAGGAGCTGGCACCAGCCCTAAAGTCAGGAGGACCTGAGTTCAAATCCAGCCTCAGACGAAACACTTGACACTTACTAGCTGTGTGACCCTGGGCAAGTCACTTAACCCCAATTGCCTAAAAAACAAAAAAATCCCAAACAAATAAAAAGGTAATGAGCTCTCCATCATCAGAGGTCCCCAAAGAAAGGCTGGAGGACCACTTGTTGGTGATATTGAGGAGAGGGGATAGGCTACAGGGCAGAATAGGTGTTCTCTGAGATCCCTTCATTCTCTGATCCTGGGAGAGAGCTGGCAGAAGAGACGGAGCAACAACCCTGGCCACAGACTTGGATTCAAGTCCTGCCTCCGGTGATAACTATGTGTATGACCTTGGGCAAATCACTTCTCCCTGGGCCTTAGTTTCTTCATTTGTAAAATGAGGGGAATGGGACTAGATGACCTCCGTGGTTCCTTCCTGTGATCCCATAATTGGTAAATAAATACTTGGGGAATCGCAGGCTTCTCAGGTTCCTTTCATGTCTCATTCTTTTTGCTTTCAGAGGCATTTCTGTGGGCATTTTCCCCAACAACTCTTCCCAAGCCTGCCGGTTCATTGCTGAAAACTCTGAGGCTAACATCTTTATGGTGGAGAATGATTGGCAGCTTCAGAAAATCCTCAAGGTAACCTTCTCCTTCTCAGAGGAGGCAGCCAGGCATAGCAGCAGGGACTCATTGGAAAAGACGCTGATGTTGGGAAAGATTGAAGGCAAAAGGAGAGGGGGACAGCAGAGGATAAAGTGGGTAGATAGTAACCTGGACGCACCAAGCATGCATTTGAACAGACTTTGGGAGATAGTAGAGGATAGAAGGGCCTGGCATACTATGTCTCATCGGTTGACGAAGAGTCAGACATGACTGAAGAACTCTTTGTTCCTCAGAGCCTTGGCTAGAATATTTCCTCTCCAGTAAATTCTTTACTCAAGTTAACCAAAGTGTTTAGGAGACAGAGCCCTAGCCATCACAGATGACTTGCCCTGGGTCGCCGAGCTAGTAAGTGTCTGAAACTGGATTTGAATTCAGGTCTTCTTGATTCCAGGTCCAATGCTCTATTACTTAGCTGTCCTGTATGGATGCATTGTTATTTATCTACATATTAAATCAGACTTCTGTCTATTTTTTGAATTCTAATTCCTAATCACCAAGAGTAACATGTATGTGCAAACAAGCTGTAGACAGGATAAGCTGGAGATAATCTCTGCCTTAAGGTGAGAAATTCCTTATAGCTCCCTGCTTATTTCTGATTGGGGATCCTATGCTCTCAATTTATTTGAGGGAGTAGGGCTTAACCAAAGAAACTCTGCAGAGTTATATGGAACTCACACCTTGAAATATTGGAGGGGACCCAAAATACCTTTCATCTTGCTACTCAAATGTGACCAAGTACAAAAGCTAAACCTAGGAGTCAAGATCACTGTCTTCTTCCTACCTAGAACATTGTTGCCTTTAACATGTAGATAAATAACAATGCGTCCATACAGGACAGCTAAGTAATAGAGCATTGGACCTGGAATCAAGAAGACCTGAATTCAAATCCAGTTTCAGACACTTACTAGCTCGGTGACCCTGGGCAGGTCACTTAATCCCTATTTGCCTTAGTTTTCTCATCTGTAAAATAAGGATAATAATAGCACCGACCTTCCCAGAGTGTTGTGAGGATCACATGACAGAATGAACTCTAAAGAGCTATATAAATGTTAGCTGTTGTTATTATCATGCATTTATCGAGGCTTTGCAAAATATACTTATATAAATGTCAGCTTTTGAGTGATGATAGCAATGAGGGTGATGCTATCCATTAGAATGTAAGTTCCCTTTTTTTCCCCTTTGTGTCCGATATTTAGCATTTTAATCAGTGTTTGCTGATTGACTGACATGTGCATTAGGCAAGGCAAAACAGGCAGTGTCATGTTTTATAACATTAACTTGCTTGCACTCCAAAGCCCTGAGTATCTACCTGCCCGTTTCTGCTATGCCACACTTTCTTTTTCAGGTCCAGGATCACTTACGTCATCTGAAAGCTATTGTCCAATATAAAGACAAACTCACAAAGAAGTTACCTAATACTTACACCGTATGTATAAGCCATGAAGGGCCCAAGGGGACAGAGAGGGGAAGATAACTAGTTATATATTATATAAATATATAATAATATATATTAATACTATGGTAATAATAAATATATGTTTAATAAAAAATAATAAATATTTAGATAATAAGACAAGTACTTCTTAAAGGGGATGGAGGCCTGGGGTGAGAGAGGCTGGCCACCAGGTCAAGAGCCAACACGTGCCCAAGCTCATAGCCGGTGGACATACTTGGTGGCCTAGGGGAAGATGGGAACATTCTTTTTTCACCTTCTCTCCAATCTGGATTGAAGGTTATCCGAGACTATGGCAGACCGTCCTGCTGCAAGGAGGAGAAAGAAGCCTTGGGAAGAGATGATAGCAAGAAGAATTAGAGCAGCTGCTAAGAAACAAAGAGTAGATGGATAGTAGTAGAGCGTAGAGAGATAGTAGTAGAGTGGAGAGGAGTTGACTGAAAAATTAAGTGGGGCATAAGAGAAAGAATATTGGACTTGGAGTTGGGGGACCTGACTTCAAATCTTGACCTTAGCAGTTACCTGTACACCCTTGGGCAAATCACTTCCCTTATCTGGAGCTCAGTTTCCTCATATGTGAAATGGGAGGATTGGACTTACTGACCTACAAGGTCCCTTCCAGCTTGAAAATCCTATTGACCTAGATACTAGAGTCATCAAGATATAATGAAAATATAGTAATAATAGCAACTCACAGTTATAAAGCATCTTGAGGTTTGCAGAATCCTTGTGACACCCCTGTGAGGTAGATATTGCAAGCATTATTATCCCTATTTTACAGATGAGGAAACTGAGACTTTGAGAGGGTAAGAGATTTGTCTCTGATCATCCAGCTAATAAGTATCTGAGGCAGGAATCCAGCCCGGGTCTCCCTATGCCAATCCTAAGCTCTATCCAGTCCAATCCACATGATGTGCTAAGAGGGTTACCCCTCCCCCGGCTTATGACAGGGAACCTGTAGGTGTGGGTTCTATGGGAACAGGATGATATTTGATTGTGGACTGGACTGGATGGGATATGAAGGAAGGAAGGAAGAAAAGGAAGAAGGAAGAAAAAAAGAAGCAAGCATTTATGAAGCACCTCCTATGTGCCAGGCACTACCAATATTATCTCATTTTATAATGAGAATGATAGGAAGGGATGATGCCTACATGTATCATAGGGAAGGAGGGGTGAGAGGGTTATGAGATGCCCTGTCTTTCTTTCTGGTGGGGTTTCTAGGTCTGGCTTAGGCACTGCTGCTCGTGTAGGAGGCCAGCCTGGTGAGACCTGTGGGCTGGGGCCGGTGTGGAGGCAGCCAATCAGTTCCTAAGCTCACCCCTGAAGACTGGGTCTGCTTCAGTGCCTGGGGTGGTCTTTGGTCACATTGCTGCGAGGGAGGTGCAGTCTGAAGGCTATATAAATAAAGCTCCAGCCTGGGGCAATATAGTCTCTTTTATAATGAGGACATGATCAAGCCTATGAATTTGGCCCCACTGGCCAGTTGCCACAGTGCTGAACTTGGCTGGGACCAAGAACCAGGATGGCCTAAGAGCTTTGGAGAAGGCTCAGTACACTCTGGAAGGCCCATCAGGACACTTGATAACTCCTGTGTTAAGGGAAGGAGGGTGGTCGGAATGGGTCAATTATACTATGAACAATGAGTTGAAAATAACTTAAAGGAGGCCCTGACATCACAGTGTCTCATAATTAGTTGGGGAGACTGGTTTGCACAATTTCTCTTCATGGAGAGTTAGGCTACTGATTCTCTTTAACATCCCAGCCATCTGTATGCTATTGCCTCTCTGCCAATACAGTGGGAAGAATTCCTCACCCTAGGGGTAACTATTTCTGATGAAATGCTGGACAAAGTCATTGATTCCCAGAAGCCCAACCAGTGCTGTATGCTGGTCTATACTATGGGGACCACTGGACCACCAAAGGCAGTTATGCTCAGTCACGACAATGTAAGTGTCTTTCTCTGAAGCCCCAAAGCCTTTCTTATCCTAACTCTGTGACCCTATTCAGGGGTGGGGAATCTGTGGAACAAATTTGTTCGGTACAGTATGGATTTAGTCAAAGGGCTGCACTTGAGGACCTAGAGGGCCACGTGTGGCCTCAAAGCCATAGGTGCCCCACCCCTGCCTACATCATCTGAAGGCCCTGGGCATGGGCACTAGAAAGCAGTGAGGTATATCAAAGGGATCTTACCTCTCATGACTTACAAATCAAAGGGAGGAGGAGTCTAACCAGTTGGGTCTAGATTCTCCAATCAATAGTTCCCCTAAAAGATGTGCTGTGTGACACTAGGCAAAACACTTTTCCTCTCTGGGCTTCTGTTTCATCCTTTGTAAAATGACAGGGGAGGGGTCACTTGTAGATGAACTTACAAGGCCCTCTTTAGAACTGAAATTTTACTATCTGTAAATTAGAAAAAAAACCCAAAACCTCTGATGCCCAAGAAAAGGAGCAAGATGGTTAAGATTAACATTGTACATTTCCCCCCTAACATTTTAAAGGTATAATTATAACAATAACAACAATTAATTAATTTTTAGTTTTCAATATTCACTTTCAGAAGATTTTAAGTTTTAAATTTTCTTCCCCTTCCTCTCCTCCCCACCTCAAGACGGCATGCAATCTGATATAGGCTTTACATATACATTCATATTAAGCATATTTTCCCATTAGTCATGATGTATAGAAGAATTTAGAATTAATGGGAGGAACCATGAGAATGAAGCAATAAAATGAAACAACAAAGGAAAAGGAGAGCAAATAGTATGCTTCCATCTGCATTCAGACTCCATAGTTCTTTCTATGGATATGGATAACATTTTCCATTGTGAATCTTTTGGAGATGTCTTAGATCCTTGCATTGCTGAGAAGAGCTAAGTCTATCAAAGTCAGTCACTGCACAATGTGGCTGTTACTGTGTACAATGTTCTCCTGGTTCTGCTCACTTCACTCAGCATCAGACCATACAAGTCTTTCCAATTTTTTCTGAAGTCCGCCTGCTCATCATTTCTTATAGCACAATGGTATTCCATTACATTCATATACCACAACTTGTTCAGCCATTCCCCAGTTGATGGGCATCCCCTCAATTTCCAATTCTTTGCCACCACAATAAGAGCTGTTATGAATATTTTTGTACATGTGGGTCCTTTTCCCATTTGATCTCTTTGGGATGCAGCCCTAGGAGTGGGTCAGAGGGTATGCATAATTTTATAGCCCTTTGGGCACAGTTCCAAATTGTTTTCCAGAATGGTCAGATCAGTTCACAACTCCACCAACAATGCATTAGTGTTCCAAATTTCCCACATCTTCTCCAACATTTATCATTTTCCTGTTTTGACGTGTTAGCCAATCTGATAGGTGTGATGTGGTACCTCAAGAGTCATTTTGATTTCCATTTCTCTAATCCATAGTGATTTAGAGCATTTTTTCATATGGCTATAGATAGCTTTAATTTCTTCCTCTGGAAACTATCTATTTATATCCTTTGACCATTTATCAATTGGGGAATGACTTGTATCTTTATAAGGTTGTTGCTTGTGGTCTATATATTTTAGTTCTCTATGTATTTTAGAAATGAGGCCTTCATCAGGGACACTGGAACAACAATAACCAACAATTATATAGGGCTTTAATGTTTGCTAAGCTCATTCATACACATTTCATTTGAGCCTCACCCTAAACCTGTGAGGTAGGTATTATTATCCCCATTTCATAAATGAGGCAAGTGAGGCTCAGGGAGGTTAACCCCCAATTTATAAATAATGAAACGGAGGCTAATAGAAATTAAATGACTTCCTAATGGTCATATGATGTTGGAGCCAAAGTTTGAACTGAGGTCTCTGAATTCCAAGTCCATTTCTCCTTCTTAACTCCCCAATTACTACTGAGGGCACTGCCATTATCTAGTCCCCTAGGCTGGAAATCTACATGTCTCCTTGACTCCTCACTCTTGTTCTTAAAGAGTAAGAGAGCTTCACTGCCCATATCCAATCTGGTGTCCAGCTCCGTGGATTTCATCTTGTAACATCTCTCATATATGCTCACTTCTCTTCTCTGACACTGCCATCATCCTGGTCTAGACCCTCGACCTCATGCCTAGACTATTCTACCACTTTGCCGAACGGTCTCTCCACACTCTAGTCTATCCTCCACTCAGCTGCCAGATCTGATCATATCATGCCCCATCCCCTACTCATTAAACTTTAATGGCTCCCTATCACCACCAAGATCAAATATGAAATCCTTTGTTTGGCATTTGAAGCCCTTCATAATCTGATCCACAACACTCAACTTTCCATTCTTTGTATACTTTACTTCCCTCCACACACTCTTGAGATCCAGCGACCCTGGCCTCCTTACTGTGAGCATTTTCTCTGGCTGTTCCCCATGCTTGGATTGATCTCTCTCCTCATCTCCACCTCCTGGCTTCCCTCAAGTCTTAGCTAAAATTCCACCTTCGACAGGAAGCCTTTCCTGATCCCCCTTAATGCTAGCGCCTTCCCTCTGTGGATTATTTCCAACTTACCCTCTGTCTAGCTTGTTTGCACATAGTTGTTTGCGTGCTGTCTACCTCTTGAAACTTTGAGCTGCTTGAGAGCAGGGATGGTCTTTTGCTTTTCTTTGTATGCTTTCACAGTGCTAAATACATAGTAGGTACTTAATAAACGTATGTTGATGATCGACTGACCCACTCATTCACTCTTTCCACTGCCTTTAGGGTTTCTTCTCTCCAATAAGCATTCAGTCCAGGGAAAAGGTTATGTGCCCCATTTCCATCTAAGCAGCTCAGGAAAACTATGGAAGACAGGGCATGCCATAGTGTGAAGAGTACTGGAACATAGCCACAGAATTAGTCTCTAACAGAGGGAACATCTAAGGGCTGGCCAAGAATAATCTCTGTAAGGTTGCCAACTAAAGAGGTAAGCCCTGGGAATACAAAGAAAGACATAAATAATCCCTGCTATAAAGGAGCTCAGTGTGATGACAGAGACCACATGCAGACAACTAGGTCCATATAAGATATGTAACAGGTAGATGGGAGGTCATCTCAGAGGGGAAGACTGGCAGTAGAGGTTGGGGAGAACTGGGACAGGCTTCTTGCTACAGTGGAATTTAAGCTGACTCTTGAAGAAGCCATAGCTAATGGGTAGAGGTCAGGAGGTAGAATATTACAGGAAGAGGAGACAGACACCGTGCCTTGTGGGCACTTAGCTGGGAGATGGGATGTGTAGTAGGCTAATGTAGGGAGATGGCAGACTGTATGGAGGGGAATCAAACATAAGAACAGAAATGTAGGCGAGGTCCTTGTTACAGAGGACCAATAGGGGATTTTACATTTGATCCTGGAGGTAATAGAAACTTGTGTATGGCTGTCGTCAGTAACAGAGCTGGGAGTCAAACCTAGACTTTGCAGTTCTGTCTCAATTACCACTCTGCTGCCTTTGGGTAAGCTGTTTCTTTGAAAAATCAACATTTTGAGGACAAAACTGAGTCTCATTTTGTGGATAGATATACCTTAGGCTACTCCCCAGGCCTTGGGTCCTCAGGAACTCAAATACCAGCTAATTCACTGATAGATTGACCTGGCATGCATCTTATTACAATAATAATAATGATAATGATAATAATAATAATAATAATAATAGCATTTATATAATGCCTACTCTGTGCCAGGCACTGTGCTAAGTGCTCTCCTAAATATTATCTCATTGGACCCTCACAACAGCCCTGTGAGGTAGGTGGTATAATTATCCCCATTTTACAGTTGAGGAAACTGAAGCAAACAGTGGCTAAATGACCTGCCCAGGGTCACTCAGTGTCTCAAGTGGGATTTGGATTCAGGTCTTCTTGACTCCAGGCCCAGAGTTCTCTCCACTGTATCACCTAGCTGCCTACATCTGTGGGAATGCTACAGGAAAATGTTTTAGCAGGACAGACTGCTCCAGAGATTCTTAACCCGGTGTCCATCATAGACTCTAGAAGGGTACATGAACAGCTTTATTTTCACTAACTTTTAACTGTAACTTAGTACTATTCCCTTTAGTTATTTAAAAGCACTTTTCTGAGAAGAAAGACATAGTCTTACCAGACTGCCAGAGAGCTCCAGGACCCCTAAAATGCTAGGTCCTCCAATCTAATTCAATCTCCTCATTTTACAGATGGGCAAATAAAGGCCACAGCTAGGGAGTAGCCACTCTCCACTTGTCCAAGGTCACACACAAGGTCAGGAATCACATTCAGGTGTAATGACTCCTAATCACTAGAGGTAGCTAGGGTATTTAGTGGATAGAGGACTGGGCCTGGAGTCAGAAAGAACTGAGTTTAAATGCAGCCTCTGGCGCTAACTGTGTGCTTAATCAATGCTTCTTTTCCCTGGTTCTCTCCACTACCCACCTTGTGTTTCAGATCACATGGACCTCAGCAGCTGTGCTCCAAAGCCTTCCCTACACTTATCCTCCTGAAAATCAAGAGGTCTTGGTGAGCTACCTCCCCCTCTGCTTGATCAATGCTCAGATATTTGAAATCTGGATCCCTGTTACCATTGGGGCATCCATCTTCTTTGCTGAACCTGATGCCATGAAGGTATGTGCCCCCATAGGTGAGAACAAGGTCTGTACTCGTATAGACAAAAGCAGCAGGTGAGACCAGCTTGGGGAAGCCCATCCTAAAGCTGGGGGCTTATTTTTAAAGGCAAACATCTCCCATTGGGACAATGGGTGCTGGGGGCTTGGTAATGTCATGTTATATTCTGATGGAAGTCATTGTACCTTAAAGACTATGTCTGTTGCCCAATCTCTGCAGGCCATGCAGGGGAATTCTCATGGGATTGCAGGTCAAAGAGGGCATCTAAATACACTGAACTCACTTGTGTGTGAGTTTCCTTTCTTTTCCTCTCCCTCCTCCTCCACATTGGTTGGGGGACCTTGTATCTGGGGATGGACATTAAGCTTACCTGAAGAGAGAATAAGTAGACTGGATTCGGAATCAGATAACCTAGTTTTTAATCCTGGCTCTGTCACTTATTATTTGAATGACCTTGGCCAAGCCCTTTTCCCTCGTGGACATCAAGTTTCCTCCTTTGTTAAATGAAGGGATTGAGTTTAACGGTTAAATCTGGCTAAAATAAACATAGTATAGTAGAAAGATCAAGGCACCTTGAATCCACAGGCCTGGGTTCAATCCCCATCTCTGATGCTTTCTATCTGTGTGATCTTGGTTATTTAATTTCCCTGGGCCTTTAGTTTCCTCATCTGTAAAACTGAGGGAGGGGAAGGACAGACTAAAACTTGGTTGGATTAAGTGACCTCTGGTTTTTAATCTTTTGCACCTTCAAATGCCTAATCAACATGGTAATGGATACCCCATAGACATCTTTAACTCATTATGTCCAAAACTGAATTCATCTCATCTGAACCCAAAGCTTTCCTTCTTCCTAGATTCCCTATTACTCCTAAGGGTACCACCATCCTCCCAACTTGACCCTCCCCTCTTTCTCATCCCCCCTCCATCCAATCTGTTACCAAAGTCTCTTGATTTGCCCTCTTCTCTTCTTCGTCCTATAGCCCCTCCTACTTCGCTTTCCTTCCTGAGCTTAATCTATGACCCTTTAGTGATAGAAGTGAGATTGGGGAGAGGTGTAAACACCATGTGGGCAGCCACTCCGGGATGGTGAACTTGTCAATGATTTTCGAGGCATATCTCGTACTCAGCTGGGCCTTCTGCATGAGAAGAACTCATCATGCAAACCTTAAGGCCAGCTACGTTGTAAGTGCCCTTGGAGGAAGGCTGTTATGGAAAAAGCCTTGGGCTTGGGGGTAGGCGGGTGGTGGCAGAAGATCTGAGTTCCAGTTCAGTGCTGCCACTGACCAGAAGCAGCTCATTTTTCCTTGATAACCATCTATAAAATGAGAGGTTTGGACCAAGTTTTCTCTAAAACATGTCCTAGCTTTGACATCCTGTTTTTAAGTTGTTTTCTAGCTCTGTACTCTAAGGTTTCCCCCCGATTCTGTCATCCTATGTTTGGAGGGCCCTTTTGGCTCTAACATTTTATGACTTCAAGGTCCCAAAACACTATCTTAGAGAGGGAGAGGCAGTGATCACTATGCTTGGGAGTAGCCTTGCCAGAATTTTCTTTAAGTTCAAGGATTCATATACCTGGGAGAGGAGTTGTTGGGATCCCGAGAGCCTGAAACACACAGGCTTGAGCTATGCTCAAGTCTACCCAGGTGTTTTGGATCTGGGCACAAGTTCAAAGCCAAGGCTTGCAGAGAAGGCAAGACCTGGCAACTTCTCCACTTTGTTGATGTTGGAAGCTGACATGGATGTTAATGTTGCCCCTAGCTCTGGCTGTTCAAGTGAAAATGTAAGAGGATAATGCCGAGGATCGGTTCCCTGAGTCTATTCATACCGAACACAGAATGTTAGAGATGGTATTGACCTTAGAATATGGAACATAGAATGTCAGAGTGGGGAAGGACCTTACAATCTACAACATCAGGGCTGGAAGGGCCCTTAGAATCCAAAATGTCAGAACCGGGAAAGATCTTAAAGCATAGTCAACAAAAAGTTATCAAGTGTTTATTAAATGCTTACTGTATGCTAACCACTGTGCTAAGTGCTGGAGGTGAAAAGGCAAAAAACAGTCCCTGCTCTTGAGCTCACAATCTTGTTGTTGTTATACATATGTGTGTGTGTGTGTGTGTGTATATATATATATATATATATATATATATATACACACACATATATATGTATATATATATGTACATACACACACACACACACTCTCATATATATATATATATAATCTGGAGACAAAATGTATTATAAAAATACAAACACCTAATAAATAATGTTTAAATAGAGTAGGAAACTCCCAAGGGTTAAGTGATACATTAGCTAGATCTTTTTTTCAACTTGTAAAAAAATTTTTTTACATTCATTTTTTTAAAAGTTGAGTTCTAAGTTCTCTTCTTCCTCCCTCCTTCCCTTCCTCCCTCATTAAAATGGTAAGCAATTTGATATAGGTTATACATATGCAATCATGCAAAGCATATTTCCATATTATTCATGTCGTGAAAGAAAACACAGACCAAAAAAGCAGGAAAAAAATAAAGTAAAAAATAGTATGCTTTGATCTGCATTCAGACTCTGTCAGTTCTTTCTCTGGAGGTGGATAGCATTTTTCATCATGAGTCCTTTGGAATTGTCTCGGATTGTTGTATTGCTGAGAATGAGCTCACAGTCTAATGGGGAAACAACATGTATACATCTATGTATAAATAAGATACATACAGGATAAATAAATTAGAGATAATCTATAGTGGAAAGGTACTAGCAGTAAGGGGATTTGATGAGGTTTCTTGTAGAAGGTGGGATTTTAGCTGGGACTTGACAGGAGCCAAGGAAGACAGGAGGCACAGAGGAGAATAGAGACCATTCTAGGCCTGGAGGACAGCTAGAGAAAATGTCTTGAGTGGAGAGATGGAGTGTTCTGTGAAGGGAACAGTCAGGAGGCCAGGGTTATGAGTCACCGAGTATGTGAAGGGTGACAAGGCATAAGAAGACAAGAAAGGTAAGAGGGAGCCAGGTTATGAAGGGCAAATGTAGGATTTTGTATTTGATCTCGGAGGTAAGAGGGAATCATTTTTTTGAGGAAGAAGAGAAGAGAGACCAGGACAAAGCCTAGAGGGATCCTCATGGATAGTGGGAATAGCCTTGATGAAGAAGGAGCATAGGAAGCTCAGTAGGAACAGCCAGGTAAAAGGAGAACCAGGAGAAAACAGCATCAGGAAAACCTAAAGGGAGGGAAAGGGGGTGATCAATAGTGTCCGAGGTTACAGAGAGGTCAAGGACATTGAGAATTGATAAAACTGGATTTGACTTTTAAGAGATCATAGGATATAGAAAATCAGAGCTCTAAGGGATTTCATGACCTAGAACATCCATGCCAGAAGGGCCCTTAGAATACAGTGCATCAATATAATAAAAATGAAAATTCTACCTAAAAAAACCCCCCCAAAACCAAAAAAACCCCTTTGGGTTCCAAGTTTTCTCCCTTCCTCCCTCCCCACCCATCCTCACTGAGAAGGTAGGCAACTCAATATAGGTTATACATGTGTAGTCATCATGCTTTCATTTATTATGAGAGCATCTTGCCCTGCTAGGGGTAGTAGTTCAGAGGACATGTCCTGAAATGATTGTGATGTTAAAACAAAAAATATTACAACCCTAAGTCTTCATAGGAAAAATACATAAATGACAGCTCATAGGTAGGTAATTTTATGGAAGAGCCAAAAATACATAAAATGAATTACTAGCTGCTACATATAAAAAAAAGAAAATCCTGTGATAGACAAAACCTATAGAGCATAGTAACAGTGCTGGCTAGCCTGAATACTCTACAGGTTCAGGTTTATGAAGGCAGAAATATAATTTGATGGGGATTATGATCAGCCATATCATCATTTAAAACTGGTTGTTTTAACAACCAAATTGTTAGCAGGTCACAGGAGAACTAATATTACCCAACCATCTAGACTATCTTACTATCTCTCTCTGTCTCTGGTGAAAATGATACAAACCTAAACAGACCCATGTCACAGGTGTCTTGCATACAAATGCATATATTCATTGATGTATATATTAATTACTGCATGATTGTTTGTTTATTTTTACTCCTATGATACATATATTGTAGCCTTATTAGTGTAAGAACTGTGCTGTTTTGCTTAATTTTCTGTTTTTGCATCTTATTATTTTGTAGGCCTCTAAATGATATTATTCCTTTCATTGTTTTTGCTGTTATATATGTTTCCTTATACTACATAGATCAGAATACACTGCATTGGCATTAAAAAAAAAAAAAGAATACAGTGCATCAGATCTGGGAAGGCCCTTAGAACAAAGAATGTCAAAGCTAGGAGGATCCTTAGAATAGAGAATGTCAAAATTGGAATATAGAGCATCAGATCTGGGAGGGCCTTTAGACACAGAATGTCAGAGCTGGAAGGGCCCTTAAAACACAGAGACTGGGAGGGTCCTTAGAACACAAAATGTCAGGGCTGGGAGGGACCTCAGAATCTGGAAAGTCAGGCCTAAGAGTGGTTTTAGAAATTTGAGTGTCAGGGTCTTAGAACACATTCTATGCAAAAACAAACATTTACTTAGTACCTAACTATATTACTGCCCTGGGAGCCAAGAAAGCTAGAGAATTGAGATAAGATAATGTCCTAGTCTTCATGGAGGTCACCATCAAATAGGTAGAATAAGATACCAAAGCAGACAGCAGCATTACATAAAAATTACATATGATAGGAAGTATAAAAAAAAGTTCTATGTGAGACCCAAGTGGGGAAGGTTACCACTGACCAAGGGGAAGGGGCTTGGGCACTGGGAGATCCTCCTCCTGGAAGAGGTGGCATTCGAACTGGAATTTCAAATAAAGGTAGGAATTCAACAGAGGAAGAGGGAGAGGGAGGCATTTGAGGTAGAGGAGAACAGTGTGAGCAAAAGCGTGGAAGTGGGAGAAGCCAGGACATATCCAGGAGAAAGAGAGTTCTTTAGCTTAAAATGGAGGCTGAAATTAATAGGTTGGAGTTAGATGTGATAATAACACGATGGGGGTGGTGTCAGGTTGTAAAGGGTGTGCCCCAAACACTATCCTGAATATAAAATGTCAGAATTGAGAGAAACCTTAGTCTCTTAGATCTAATTTGACCACTTTCTTTTGATAGTAAAACTAAGGCCTGAAATGGATTAAGAACTTGTCCAAGGCTATAGGGTAAGTCAGTGGCAAGCCTGGGACTCTTCTTGAGCCCTTCTGGCTTCCCGTCTAGAGATTTTTCATGACCCTTTGCTGATTTCTTGACCTTAACTTCATCATATCAGATTCAGGGATCCCTGATAAACACACTGCTGGAGGTGAGGCCTACTACCTTCTGTGGAGTCCCCGAAGTCTGGGAAGAGCTGATGCAGAGAATGAGATCAGATCAGATGTCAGCTGCCTCATTCAAGAGGAATTTGATTGTTTGGGCCAGGAAAATGGGATTAAAAGCATACAAGAACCGGGAATCTGAGTGAGTAGAAAATCCACCATTCACTTTTTCTCTCATTCTTTTATGCTCTCCATCTTCATAAGCACCTAACAGTATACAGAGCACTGTGCTAGGCTCTGGGGAAGGGACAAAGTTAAACAAGGGCAAAGTCCTCTGGGTCACCAGCTGCTTTCTACCTGGGTGGCTCATGGGCATCTCAAACTTAGCAGATCCAAAATGGAACTCCCTCAAAAGGGATTCTGCTTACCTTCACCAACATCCTTCCAGTCACCCAGACTGGCAATTTTGGAGTTGTCTCAATTCTTCTCCTATCCTCATCCGTCCTCGTGTTTAATCAATTGTCAGGGATGGGCCATTTCTCTCCTTCTTCTTCTTCCTTCCACTCACATGGCTGTCAACCTAGTTCAGGCTCTCAGTTTGTCTGGTATGGCCTATTACAGGGATAAAAAGGAAGGAAGGAGGGAAGGAAGGAAAGAAGGAAAGAAGGAAGGAAGGAAGGAAGGAAGGAAGGAAGGAAGGAAGGAAGGAAGGAAGGAAAAAGGGTAGTAGAGAAGGAGGAAGAAAAGGTAGAAGGGAAGGAGGAAAGGGAGGGAGGGAGGAAGGAAGGAAACATTTATTAAGCTCCTATTATGACAATTATATGCAAATCAATACATGGCACACTTAAAGAAATTAGAAAAAGATTGATATTAGTAATAAAGACACAAGAACAAATAAAATAAAGAGCTTAAGTAGCAAAAAAAAATGTTGTGGAATGAATTAAAGCTGAGAGGGAGAGAGAGAAAAAGAAGAGAAAATAATGAAGAAAATAACCAGTGTGGGATGTATAATTTAAAAAACTTGAATAAATTTAAATTACTGACAGATTTACTGAGTGAAAAAATACTTTTTAAAAAATTATTTTCTCTTCCCTCCCCCATTTGGGAAAAAAAAAAACCAAAACACCTAACCCTTGCAACAAATATATGTAGTCAAACAAAACAAATTCCCCTATTGCTCATATTCAAAAATATCTGCCTTATTCAGAAAAACAAATTGCAGACAATGCATTCCAGTGGGAAAATACATTTAGAAAAAGACTGAATCACATTAAAAAAGGGGAAATGTGCAGATTCAGGTAAGAAAATCTAGTAGAGAGGCCTCCTGCAGCATCCTTAGGATTACTTGATATCCCAGAAAAGTTAGAGAAAAAATTCTGAACACTATATTCCAGGAATTTGTTCAAGAAATTCTTCCAGAATTAAGGAAACCAAGCAATCCTTCTGGAGATCCTTCCCGTGTGAGAAGTCCACGGTTGGGGTCAGCTTCTAGGGTGAGAAAGCTTCTGGGGCATGCATGGTAAGGACAATCCAAAGTCAGGGATGCAGCTTGGAGAGGAATTCTATCAAAGTTGAAGTTAAGGAAGAAAGAATTCAAATACATAAATAAGGACTTCACATTATTACTAAATGCTTTTATTCAAATTGAGAGGATGTCTGTTTTAAATATAATTTAGCATTAAAATTCATAAGAAAAAAATCTCACAGATTTGCAAGAAGAAATAGCTAAATAGGAAGCCATATGAATTGATGAAGACTGAGTAAACGAAAGTAGGAAAACAATATACCCAATGACTAAAACAGGGATGGAGAACCTGCGGCCTCGAGGCCACAGGTGACCCTCTGGGGCCCTCGAGTGAGTCCCTTTGACTGAATCCAAACTTCACAGAGGATTTGTTCTGTAAAACTGGAACTTGGTCAAAAGGCCACACCCAAGGACCTAGAAGGCCACTTGTGGCCTCGAGGCTGCAGGTTTCCCACCCCTGGACTAAGACAATATAATAGAACAAAAAAAATAAAACTTACTGCCATATAATTATAACGATCAACCTCGGCCCCAGAGAAGAAAATGTACCTGCCTATAGGCAGAGAGGATGGGGTGCATATGAATGAGATATTTTCTTATACAAAGAATTGGGGGGGAGGGGAAGCTTACGTATGACAGTGTAAATCTCTATTTCGTGTCTTGGTGTTTTATTTTCCAGCCAAAGACAAGGTTTATTAGAATACTTGATTGGGCTGAGTGAGACTCCTAATGAGTCTGTGCTACTGTCTAGATTTTAAGAATCTGAGCCTCATATGTCTTGTTTCTTCTACATGTTTTAAAAATGTTTCATTAATGCTGTTTCTTCTTTTTAAGAAATTTGTATGTCTGTCACTACCCATCCTCCACCCTCATAGCTGCCTCTTAATCTCCCACTTAAAAAACCTCTCTCTTGTAATAAATAAGTCAACAAGCAAAACACACGCATGCATTGATAGTGCCTGAAAATGAACGTTTCTGTCTGTACTTCTAGTCCATCACCTCCCTGCCAAGAGGTAGGAAGTTAGCTCTATTATAAGACAAAATTAGACATTTATTTCAAAGTTGCAAAATTTGAGAGTAACTCAAATTATATTCTTCACTTCAAGTTACTTTACAAAGTGAGAAAAAAAAATCATGTGTCCACGTCTAGAGTCATGATTGGTCACTGCTTTGATCATAGTTCTTAAATCTTTCAGAATTGTTTTCCTTTACAATGTTGTATTCATTGTATAAATTGTTCTCCTATTTCTAGTCACTTGACTCTGTAGCATTTCGCACTAGTCCTTTCAGATTCCTTTGAATCCATCCTTTTCTTCATTTCTTATGGCACAATAATATTCTATTACATTCCTATGCCATAATTTGTCCCACCATTCAATAAGTCATGGGTTAGCTAGTTTGCTTTTCATTCTTTGCTATGACACAAGTGATGCTCTAAATATTTTTATTCATATGGGTCTTTTTCCATTTTCTTTGATCTCTTGGGATAATGTGACTAGTAGTGGTATCACTGAATCAAAGGGCATTCACAGTTTAGTGACTTTTGTAGTAGAATTATGAACTACTTTCCAAAACAGTTGAATTAATCCCCAACTTTGCTAGTGATGCATGTGTGCCTCTTTTTCTACATCCCCTCCAACAATTGTATTTTTCCTTTTTTTTTTTGTCAACTTTGACAATCTGATGGATGCAAGTCAAAACAACTTCAGAGTTGTTTTAATTCGCCTTTCTCTTATGATTAGTGATTTGTATAATTTTTTTTATATGATTGTTGGTAGATTACCTTTCTTGTTTTTGAAAACTTCTTGTTCAGATATTTCAACCTATAATTTGTATTTCCACTAGGTCATCATTGAAAAAAGACAATAATTTTATTTCTCCTTAATTTTGTATCCCACTTTCATTAGAGGTTATTCTCAATTTTGTCTTCTCTCTTCAACATCCCACACTACCCCCTTATGCCACCTTTGGATATTGACCGAAGCTTTAATGACAAAATAGAGATTATTCTTTATAAGCTCCATCTTCTCTTCTTCTTGATATCTTTTTTTGTTTCTTATTTTATTTTTCTCAATTACATGTAAAAAAATTTAACATTCATGTTTTAAAATTTTGAGTTCCAAATTCCTTCCCATCCTCCTCTCACCCCTCCTTTAGAAGGCAAGCAATTTGATATTGATTATACATATGCAGTCATTCAAAATTTATTTCAATATTATCCCTGTTGCAAATGAAACACAGATAAAAAAAAAAAGAAAAAGAAAGTTAAAAAAGTATGCCTTCCTTTGCATCAGTTCTTTCTCTGGAGGTGGCTAGCATTTTTCATCATGGGTCCTTTGGAATTATCTTGGATCTTTGTATTTGAAAATAGCTAAGTCATTCACAGTTGATCATTGTAGGATAGTGCTATTATCGTATACAATGATTTCCACGTTCTGCTCACTTCACTTTGCATCAGTTCATGTAAGTCTTCCCATGGTTTTAGGAAAGCATCAAGTTTGTCATTTCTTATAGCACAATATTATTCCATTATAATTATATAGCACATAACTTATTCAACCATTCCCCAGTTGACAGACCATCCCCTCAATTTCCAATTCTTTGCCACCACAAAAGGCTGTTATATAAATATTTTTGTAGATATAGGTCCTTTTTTTTTTATCTCTTTGGGATACAGATCTGGTATTGCTGGGTCAAAGGGTATACACAGCTTAACAGCCCTTTAGGCATAGTTCCAAATTGCTCTCCAGAATGGTTGGATCAGTTCACAACTCTACCAACAATGGCCCAATTTTCCCATATCCCCTCCAACATTTATCATTTTCCTTTCTTGTCCTATTAGCCAATATGATAGGTGTGAATTGGTACCTCAGAGCTGTTTTAATTTGCATTTCTCTAATCAATAGTGATTTAAAGCAATTTTTGTGCCCCATATACTAGATTGCTTTCTTTCTAATCTTGGCAGCATTGATTTTGTTTGTGCAAAAACTTTTAAATTTATCAACTTTATTCTTATAAATTTGACTCAGTTCTCTATATATTTGAGAAATGACTGTCCTTTTTATTTTTTCAAATATTTTCCCCAATTACATGTAAAAATATTAATATTTTTTTAAAAAGGTTGAGTTCCAAAGGCTCTCCCTCCCTTCACTTCCCTACCCCTTATCAAGAAGGCAAGTAATTTGATATAGATTATACATATGCAGTCAAGCAAAACACTTCCCTACTAGTCATGTTGTAAAAAAAAAAAAACCACACACACAGATACAGACACAGAGACACGCGCCAAAACCCCCGCCTCAAAAAAAATAAAGTGAAAAAAAAGTATGCTCTGATTTGCATTCAGACTCCATCAATTCTTTTTCTGGAGGTGGATAGCATTTGTCATCATGAGTCCTTTGGAATTGTCTTAGATCACTGTACTGCTGAGAAGAGCTAAGTCATTCACAGTCAATCATCTTACAATGTTACTGTTACCATGTACAGTGTTCTCCTGGTTCTGCTCACTGCACTTTGCATCAGTTCATGTAAGTGTTCTCAAGTTTTTCTGAAAGCATCATGTTTGTCATTTTTTACAGCACAATAGTATTCCATCATAATAATATATCACAACTTGTTCAGCCATTCACCAATTGATGGGCATCCCCTCAATTTCCAATTTATTGCCACCACAAAAA